TGTAAAGATGATGATCTCCCCTGATAGTTTTAGAGATAGATAGCTCTTTCAAAATAATTTGTTATAAGTATTCCTGCAACATATTACTGACCCTATTCTTGGACGCTATCGCAAGATGGCGGGCGCAGACGGGGCACTGTGGTGAGAATGCATTTAAGGCCGCGCAAAATATTTCCTTTTCGTTGAAAACAGTACAAAGCCTTGAGGGAGGAGAGACCCCAGGGTGCGTGGGCGATCTTCACTTTCCGCTAAGTTCCTACCCCTACTAGGCTTACTGCTAGGGATGCCGCCGTACACTGCGATAGCGCCTTTTTTTGAAACATTAAGAAGTCACTCACATAAACATGATGACCTTTCTCGCGTTTTACATATTAGCACATTTTTTTTATTATTTACTGATGGCTTTTCCCTTTCAACAATGACTGATCTCTCAACTGAGATGGATCCTCTTTATGACGACAGGTGTAACCCTTTCCCTGTTCCTTACCAGGCGCTATTGCAATGCGGAGGGGGTCTACTTAACTTCGGAAATGGGACTAAGTCTAACTAATGAGAGTAGGTGAATGAAGAAAATGCTCTAATTACCCGGGCATTTTTTTATTTCCCCGATGTTCCTGTTCCCTTATGGTTAGTCCTACATACAGGATGTCCCATATCTTGCGACAGCGCCCAAAACGATTAGATGTTACAAATCGAGGAAAAACAACTAGCGAGATGCGTAGGAATAAAACTGGTGACAATGGGTGACAGAATATACGCGTTTGAACGTTCAAGCTGTAACTAGGCTCCAGCAAGTAGGTAACCACGACTTGATCGGATGCACAAGCTCAGGCAAAATGCCCCGTATATTGCAGTAGCGCGTACCAATAGTTCTTTTTTGTAAGTCATTCAATCTGATCTGAAAAAGTCAGCTGTGAATAATCTCCTCTAGAAGATTATCTTCGGAAAAGGTGGGAGCACAACTTCGATTTTTTCACTTTTTTCGTTTACCGCTTTTTTTTGAAAATTAACTCTATTTTCTTGAAGACGCTTTGTCGATCTATCTACTATTGAGTTACTTATTCATTCAACTAAGTCATTATTTGAATTCTCTACAATTCCCTACAAGAGCGTATCATTCCTTCATTCACTTCCGTGGATCGCTCAGCTTCTGTACAATGCGCTATTATATGCTATTATATACCTATTTTCAACTTTTCGTTTACCCATTTTACGTTTTTTGACCATCTCTCCGAAAATGGATACGGCCTTCTGCTCCACGATCCTCTCTTCGTTTCGTTCTTTTGATAGAAGCAGTCACACTTGAATTCCTGTACAGTAGCATTTTAGGACGAACGAAGAAAATAAATCTGAAGTCTTGATCTCCAGATCTGAAATTTTGTAAAAGACGCTGACGACCCTATTCGAACGGATCCAAGTCACATTTCCAAGCGCTATCACAAGAAACGGGAGTATTGTGGTGGCAGTGCATTTGAAATTGCGTAAAACATGTCCTTTTACAAAAACAGGACCAAGCCTTAGGCGGGACTTAGAGACTCCAGGGTGCGTCAACCGTTTTCAATTTCCAAATTCCGCGATTTTATTGATTTTGACCGCTTTCTCATAAATTAACGGTGATTTATTGCTTTATTCTCAATATGCACCCTTTTGTATGTTTCCCTTTGTTCTCATTGTCTTCCTTTTCCTTCTCCGCTACATCCTTTTCGTTCATTCAGTACACACGAGTGATTTGGCCGGATGCAACCGTAACAGAAGCAGCAAGCCCTGTTGGTCCTAAATTTCCTCGTGGCTGCCGTTCCCACACCCGGTTCCACTGCACATCGGGTCTCGAAACTAGGTCAACTCAACGTTATAATGCGCTTTGCGCAGTTCGTTGTGTTGCAGCCGCTTATGGGCTTTTACACAATATGAAGTATGCACGTGACAATACATACTTGCTCTCCATCTGCCAAGACTCGCAACTTTCATACCAGCCGTGTGGGAAACTGTTTGAATCTGACTTTTCAACAGTCCGGACGTGGTGCGAACAAGGACATGGGTCGCACGAAAACGAGAGTGAAGCGACGACCTATTCATCGCTCTGAAACTCGCCGTGGAACGTCATCGTCGTCAGTAGTCCGCGTACGGGAAGCGTCCTCCTCAAATCACACCCTCTCTCTCTCGCGGTGACGATCTCCGATCCGGCTTTGGTGCTCGCTTTCCAACAGGTTTCCTAATCGAAATGGAAATCGGCTGCGGCCGCGGTCACTTCTGGCCGAAGGCCGGTTTCGGGCATGTAGGTCGAACCCTAGGGGAGAGCGCGCCAGCGCATCCGGGTGACGGTAATTGTCTGCGCATCTATGTACCTGCTCTCTGTCTTCTGCTCGGCTTCATACGCATAACCGTCTCGGAGGACCCGTTTTTGGGCAGAGAGCGTTCGTTCTTTTCCTGGCGTCCAGTGCTGCTTTGCGACAATTTCGTCGACAACTAGCCCTGTCTGGGCTCAATGGGATGTCTGATCAGCGAACCGTCGGCTGCTAGTCATCCTTGTCCTTTCCTGTTACTGTTTCGTGTTATTTCCCTCAGCGGCTGTTTCGATTGAAAGTGTTATTAGTGATCTGCTATAGATGGACGTCGATTCTTCGTCGTCTTCGCCCTCGGAGCGGTTGTCGGTTGTGTGTTCTGCTTCAGCCGAGTATAGCTCCAATTCTTCTGAGCATTCACCACACTCGAGAAGGTAAGTGAACCTTTCTCTCATTATTTTTTCAATGGCAATTTTGCAGGAATTCTGTCAATGAGAGCGTCTTGAAGGACGAGCAGTACTGGGAACGCCGGCGGAAAAACAATGACGCATCGAAACGTTCCCGAGAAAAGCGAAGAATAGGAGACATGGTAATGCTTTCTTCTGAAGTTTCATTCCTCTGCAGCAGTATCGTGATCAAGCCTCGAAAGCTAAGAACAATAGATCAGCTCAGTACTGTTGCAGTACAGGTCTGAT